GAGGTCAGCTGGCCAACGTGGCGAAACCCCGTCTCTACTAAAAATACAAAAATTAGCCGGATGTGTTGGCACGCGCCTGTAATCCCAGCTACTTGGGAGGCTGAGGCAGGAGAATCTCTTGACCCCAGGGCGGGGAGAGGAGATGGGGGGCGGAGGTTGTGGTGAGCCGAGGTCGTGCCACTGCACTGCAGCCTGAGCAACAAGAGAGAAACTCCATCTCAAAAAAAAAAAAAAAAAAAAAAAAAAAAGGAAAAAAACAATACTAAAATTACATTTCTGGAATTTTTTTTCTGCAGTTTTTCAGGCGTCTTCTCAACGCCCACCACCCAGAGCTATTTTTTTCCTGAATTATTTTAATTAAGAATGCTTTGTCCTGGCTTTTAACATTTTTCATCAAAAAGGGAACATTTTCAAAAATGGGAATAGTAAATACTCTACTTGGCATAAGATGGGCACTTCTAAAAAGTAAAAGACACCTGAGTTTCACATAGTGGTTTGCCCCATATTGTAGAATCCTTTGTGATGTAAATTGTTCCAGGGATGGTGGCTGCATTTCTACACCAACAGATCAATGGCATTGAAGGAACAAGGAAGGGCAAGATTCCTTGCCTTGGAGACCTACTTCTGAGACCATTCTTGTGAAAAATTGTCTTTTCTTTGCTTTCAGAGAACCATAGAATTTTATTAGGCCCCACAACATTTTCTTGTCCAGTGCTTTTGAAGTTTTATAGTTTTTGACAGTGTGTGTATCAAATATGTATGTGCATGTGTAATTGGCTGTGAACTTAAAAGTATCTGAGAAAGTGTATCTGGAATTGGTTCCTTCCAGAGGTTCTTAATCTCGCTGACTTCAAGAATTAAGCCGCAGACCCTTGCAGTGAGTGTTACAGTGATGATGTGTCTGGAGTTTATTCCTTCAGCTGTTCAGATGTGTTCAGAGTTTCTTCCTTCTGGTGGGTTCCTGGTCTTGCTGACTTCAGGAGTGAAGCCGCAGACCTTGCAGTGAGCGTTACAGCTCTTAAAGGTGGCAGCGTCCTCCCGGTGGGTTTGCGGTTTCACTGACTTCAGGATTGATGCCACAGACCCTTGCCGTGAGTGTTACAGCTCATAAAACTAGTATACACCCAAAGAGTGAGCAGTAGCAAGATTTACTGTTCAGAGTGAAAAAACTAAGCTTCTACATCATGGAACAGCACCCTATGGGGGTTGCTGCTCCTGGCTGGGGTGGCCAGCTTTTATTCCCTTATTTGGCACCACCCACATCATGCTGATTGGTTCACTTTACAGAGCACTGATTGGTCCATTTTACAGAGTGCTGATTGGTCCATTTCACAGAGTGCTGATTGGTCCATTTACAGAGTGCTAATTGGTGCATTTACAAACATCACCATTTTTTGTGGTGATGCCTGAGAAGCAGTGCTTATTGGGTGAGGGAGAAACATTCTCTTTCCCCAAGAGTCCTTGTGTAGAATTTCTTTTTCAGCTGGTGCTTTTGACAGGGCTCCATCTCTGAGCACACTGAACATACACTATTCTTTCTTCCTATACCAGACGCGACCCAGAATCTAGTGATGCAGTCAAGATATTGACCTGGTTTTCTAAGATTATGGCAGAATAAGAATTCTGATCTTATTGTTATGACATAGCTAAAGCTGTTACACTTTGACTTTAGTTGGTTTTTCCGGGATGGAATGGGTTTTCGATTGCTTTCTTTGGTCTAGCAGGTATCAGGCAGGTTTGAGCAGTGTCTACATGAGTGTTCAGGAAGAAAGGGCACCCCTATCCCTTCAGTTAGATCATCTGGATCAGCCATGCCAGTCAATAGGATGGCAGAGATTGCAGGTCCACCATCAAATCATGATATGCTGCCCCAAGGAGAAGGCTGGATTTCCCTTGCCTGGGTGGTAAGTGGTAGATAACGTGGTCCTTAACTTTGGTCTGAATAGACTCTACAGAGGGGGATTCAGAACATTTCATCCAAAAATGTGTGGTAACTCTTAGATTTCAGACCTAGAGCCCTTATGCAGTTTTCTACCATGGAGAAGTAACGTCTTAGAAATAAAATACAATTTGCCAAGAATCTCTCATAATACATGTTCTCATTAGTATAAAGCTCTCAAATTGGGTTTTTTCCCTTCATTCTGAATTTGGTTTGCAGCCATACTCACATGCACTAGGGTGCATCCATAAAGAAGGTAAAATCAAGCTGAGCTTCACTACATGGATTCCAGGAACACTGTTCTTTCCCCCGACTCCAGGCCAGGGCAGAGAGTTCCTGTGAAGATGTTGGAGTGAACTGAAGCAGTGTGGGATAGTGACAAATAACCAAATTGTACTGTTGTTTGGAGTTTTTTAAACATGAAATATCTAGGTATCTTTGCTATTATCAAAGAATGACAACCTCATTTCCATAAAGCAGTTTTCCCCACAGCAGTCTCCAAGAGCTTCTTCTCCACAAACCACCTCATCTCTGCACAGCAGGGCGCCAACAGCCAGAGGAGCCACCATCACATTCACATGCATGGATTCCACTTTGATTCTCCTTAAATAAAATGCCCAGACTCTTGAGCGACAGGAAAAACCCCATGTCCCAAAGACCTCAGCTCCAATTTCAGTCTTGAACATCAAACTTGCTATCTTTGCTCTTCATCTGAACACTTTTCCCCCAAAAAAATTAAACTTTAGATCTGGGAATTCCCTGCCCTCTTTACCTTTACAGGCTTGTAATCCACTCAGTTTAAATCTGTTATGGGCCTCAACAATCAAAACTAATAGTGAAAATGAAAAAAAAATACATCTAAAATACTTGTAATAGTGCGCTTCCAAAATATCTCATAAGCTGCAGGCAACCGTCAGCAGTCACCAGCTGTAGTTCAAAATCTGAATCACCTCATCATCACATATGTAATATTTTATCTACAACTGTGACAACTAAGAGTTGCTAAAGCTCTTTTTCTGCTACACCACCACATGTATTGTTACCAATTATACAAAATCCATGAATACCATTAAATGCTTCTTTATTTTCCCTCTATTTTAATAGAATTTTATTTTCTGATTAAGAGGAACCAAAACATGAAAAGTCTAGTTTACTCAAATCCAAATGCAACATGTAAGCAAATTTAATAAACGTATCCATGTATACGGACACACTTTCTACACACCACAAACAATAGGTTGAAACATATTCGTGCAAACACAATTCAGTTGTTTTCCATTTGGAATACACATTTGGCCCAGCATATAAAAGCTACATTAAAAGACTTAGATGTGGTAAATAACTTCAACAAAAGAAACTTTGCCTATTACTAATACAGCTAGAAAGGAGACAGGCTCAAGGTTGAGTGAGATTTGTAGTCTCTCTGCAACATGGCAACATTTCAAACAAGATAATGCCATTTCTTCCCCTCGGATAAACAACATGAGTCACTCTGTAAGCATTGAACAACTGGGCTCATAACTACCATATACCATCTGTCACCCAAATTAATGAAATCTTTGCTAATGTCACTTCCGGACTAAAAATTTCTACCTCAGTTTTTTTTTTCTTTCCCTGGAATGTAACTAAAAAGGTAACATGCTTGCAGAGACTTGTAGAATTTTGTAACAAGGACAAAAATAAACAAAAACATCTTTGTGATTCATCATTCTCAGCAATGTATTAATAACGTTTTCTGATTAAGTACAATGACTATGTTTCTCCAAAGGAAAAACTCAATAAATCAATTTTAGCCCTAATTTAACCGTAATTATTCTCTATCTGAAGCAAGTCCAGGTGATTCACTTAGAATTACCTATAGAAGGCCAGTCATGGTGGCTCATGCCTGTAATCCTAGCACTTTGGGAGGCCAAGGTGGGCGGACCACCTGAGGTCAGGAGTTCATGACCAGCCTGGCCAACATAATGAAACCCTATCTCCACTAAAATACAAAAATTAGCCAGGGGTGATGGCGGGTGCTTGTAATCCCAGTTACTCCAGTGGCTGAGACAGGAGAATTGCATGAACCAGCGAGACGGTTGCAGTGAGCCAAGGTTACGCCACTGCCCTCCAGCCTGAGCAGCTGAGCAAGACTCCGTCTCAAAAAAAAAAAGAAAAGAAAAGAAAAGAATTACCTACAGATGTTATATGTAAGTGTGTGTGTGTGTGTGTGAAATATGTAGTTATATATTATATATAACATATATATGTTTTCAGAAATCTCACAGATTTGTTATTAACAGCATTTTGTTTGATCACAAACAAACACTTTTAATTGTGGTTCCAGGCCCACATAATCAAGTAATGTTGTCTTTAAAAGCAAGTAAGTACGTTGGAATTTTTTTCCATATTTATATTAAGGTACAATTTACATACAGTAAAAGTCACGTATTTTTTCTGTGAGTTTTGAGAAACGTATACAGCCATGTCACCATCACCACAATCAAGATGTGGAATGGTTCTATCATTGCCCCTAGTGTCTTTTGTACTTAACCCCACTTCCCATCCTAACCCCTAGCCAGTGCTGATATGTTTTCTGTCCCTGTAGTTTTGTATTTAAAAGATTCTTATATAAGTGGTATCTTATATAAGTATGTAACCCTTTGAGTCTGACTTCTTTCACTTAGAAAAATGGATTTAAGATTCATCCACCTTGTTGCAGGAATCCTTTCGTTATTTTTTACTGGTGAATAGTATCACATGGTACAAATATACAGCTTGCTTATCTTTTCCTCAACTGAGGGATCTTTTCCTCAACTGAGGGATATTTGTTTCCAGTTTGGGGTGATTACAAATAAGGCCTCTAAAAAATTCACATACAAGTTATTGTATGGATATATGTTTTCATTTCTCTGAGGTAAGTACTTAGAGATAGGGCTGCTGGGTTATGCATTAAGTGTATGCATAAGTTCATTAAAAAAGGCCCAACTGGTTTCCTAAGAGGCCGAACCATTTTTCACTCCCACCTGCAAAGTATGAGAATTCCAGTTATTCCAAAGCCTCACCAACACTTGCCATTATCTGTATGATTCTATACCTTTAATAAATTATCCATGACTTCTTATACAGCTAATTCAATGTCTTTGATTTCGAATGAATGTGATTTTTATTTGCAAGGGAAAAACTCAAATCACAGAAGAAATGAACTTTATCTCCCCCCAAGTTGAGCATTTTCCCTTGAGTGGATTGACTTTCTTAGTTTCTGGGGTTCACCTTGACTTGAAACACGATCTTGTCCAAGTCCAGAGTAAAACCTGCCGCAGGTTTGTTTCTTCATGTCTTCTGGAAGCACTGCCCAGTTTCCCTGGGAACAGGGAACAGGATCCTTTTTTTTTATGCTTTGGATGCATTAGATTAATCCAGTGGAGGAACACAGAGCATGAAAACAGCATTCTAAAAAAAAAAAAGAGAGAGAAAAAAAATCTCAGTAAAGATTCTACGACCTGCAGAGAATTTGATCACATCTTCTTTGTCATTCCTGCTTCCCTGCTTCCCAGCCACCCAAACTGGACTCCTTATTCACAACTTGTGAAAATAACGACTTTATTATAAGTCACATAACAAAATGCTCATCATTTTAAAGATTACAATTTAGTGTGTATTAACAGCGTTTTGCATCTGTCATCGCTAATTTTAGAACGTTTTCATCACCCAAAAAGAAACCCCAGGTCCATTAGCAGCCTTGCCCCACATCTCCCTCCATCCAGCCCCTGAAATCACCGATGTGCTTTCTGTGTTTATGAACTTGCCTATTCCAGACATTTCATATAAATGGAATCATACAATACATGAACTTTTGTGTTGGCTTCTTTCACTTAGCGTAATGTTTTCAAGGTTCGTCATATTGTAACATGTATCACATTACTTTGTAGGGCCAAATAAAATTTCACTGCACAGCTGTAATCCACAAACAAATTTCCTTACTATTTATTTATGTACCCTCCAACTGATGATTATGTGAGTGTTTCCACTTTCTGGCTATTGTGAATATGATGTTATGAATATTCAGGGAGAAGGTTATGAATATTCATGGATGGACGTATGTTTTAAATTCTTTCGAGTTTTTACTGAGCAGAGAGTTGCTGGGTCATGTAATAACTCTATGTGAAACAGTTTGAGAAACTTCAAAACTGTTTTTCCAAAACAGCTGTGCCATTTCACTTTCCCCCCAGCAATATGTGAAGTTTCCAATTTCTCCACATCCTTTCCAACACTTGTTAGCTGTCTGTCTTTTTAATTTAGCCACCTTAGTGTGAAGTTTTGTTTCATTGTTGCTGTGAATGGTATCTCATTGCATTGCATTGCATTTCCCTAATGAATAATGATGGTAAGCATCTTTTCGTGAGTTTGGTGGCCATTTGTGTATCTTCTCTGGAGAAATGTCTATTCAAATCCTTTGCCCATTTTTAAGATAGGTTATTTGTGGTTTTATTGCTGAGTTTAAGAGTTCTGTGCATAGTTTAGATACAAGTCTTTTATTATATATAAAACTTACAAATATTTTCACCCATTCTGTGGTTTTTTCACTTTCTTGATGATGTGAAGCACAAAATATTTTGATTTTGATGAAGTCCAATTTACTCATTTGTTTATTACTTTTGCCACTTTTGGTGGCATAGCTAAGAAACCCTTGCCTAACACAAAGTCAGGAAGATTTGCTCCTAGGTTTCCTTCCAAAAGGTTTATAATTTTAGTTCTTACATTTATGTCTATGACTGGTACCTTATTCACCCATATTTACTTATTTAGAAAGCAAACTACACATATATTGTTTCCACAATTCTCCCTATCTAAATTGCAGTTTACTGATTGGGATGGTCAAACACACCTGTTTAATGATGCCATGTGATTAAATTCACTGTCACTTTACTTCTGCTTCTACAATGTTATCTATCCTGTCAGTTCCATAGAGAAAAGCAAGCTAGAGATGAGAACTCCCAAATAAATGTTTGTTCTTTTCACAAAACACTCTTTCAAGCAAAGCACTACTCTGCATGTTCTTTTTCTTCCAGAGTTTGGAAATAGGTAAATTTATATACAGTTATAAACACCATCACTGATTTTATTTCCATCCTACAGTAGCTTAAGGATCTCTGGAAATTGAAATGTGGAGTTATAAAAATGTGGTGCTCAATCTTCTAATCCTTTTGTGTCTCTATCTCTAAAACTAAAATAGAGATTGCAAATACGTAGTACTGAAACATTCCCATATTGTTCAAGACATCAAATTGTTTTGTACTAATTACCTGGAAAATTTCCCCTTTATCTTTTTTTTTCTTCCTTTTGCTTCAGCAAACAGAGATCTAGCTAATACATTACTTTTCCCTGTCCAGTTTCCCTGTTGAAAAAAAGGACACTAGTACTTATTTCCTCCTCATCTCAAGGGATTAATGCTGTGTTTGAGAAGTGTAAGCATGTTTTGCCTCAGAACTTCTAAAAAGTAAAAGTATGGAGAGCCCAGAGTGTCACTGGCACAGAGAAGCATCTCCACAGTGTTGTGTGGTATATGTTCTGATGAATAAACAACAGACTAAATTTTTTAGCACAAGAAGAATTTTGTGGAGAATAGTAGATGGTTGGAACCTATTGTTGGAATCTTCGTTTGTATAGCCTTGAAAAATTTTGAGAACACTATGCCAGAAATAGGGGTGTTCCTCAGTTTCTGTATCTTACCTGTCAAAAGAGAGTCTGCTTAGAACTAAGCATTTAGAATCATCTCAAAATCTTATCTTTTATGCGAACACTGTAAATTGTCAGATGATTGCATGATGCTTTGGCTCCTCTTTGCCCTACTCCTGAGGAAATGTTCTTACGGCATAGTGATCCAAAAAATACTTATTTGTATTTTTTTATTAATATATTATAGTAGTGCATATTTGGGGGTACATGTAATGTTTTGATGCATGTGTATAATATGTAATAATCAAATTAGGGTAATTAGGGTAGCCATTAACTCAAATATTATTTTCTTTTGTATTGGGAACATTACAGTTCTTTTCTTCTAGCTATTTTGAAATGTACAATATATTACTATTGACTAAAATTTCCTACTGTACTATGAAATATTAGAATTTATTCCTTCTATGTAATTGTATTTTTGTACCCATTAACCAGTTTCTCTTTGTTTTTCCCCTTCTGTCTTACATTCACTGCTTCTGGTAACCACCATTCTACTTTCTATCTCCATGAGGTTCGCTTTTTTGACTCCCACATATGAGGGAGAACATGCAATATTTGTCTTTCCGGGCCTGACTTATTTCACTTGACATAGTGGCCTCCACTTCTATCCATGTTGCTGCAAATGATAGGATTTCATTTTGTTTTCTTTTCCGTTGTGCATTAATACCACATTTTCTTTATTCATCCACTGATGGACTCTTAGGTTGACTTCATATCTTGGCTATTATGAATAGTGCTGTAATAAACGCAGAAGTGTAGTTAACTCTTTGGTGTACTGATTTCCTTTCTTTTGGATATATACCCATCTGTGAGATTGCTGGATCATATGGTAGTTCAATTTTTAGTTTTTTGAGGAACCTCCATACTGTTTCCCATGATAGCTGTACTACTTTACATTTCTCCCAACAGTATATGAGTGTTCCCTTTTCTTGGCATCCTCACCAGCATTTGTTATTTTTTGTCTTTTTGATAATAACCATTCTAACTGGTGTAAGATGATGTATCACCACAGTTTTGATTTACATTTGCCTGATGATTAGTAATGTTGAGCATTTTATAATGTACCTGTTAGTTATTTGTGTGTCTTTTTTTGAGAAATGTCCATTCAGATATTTTGCCCATTTTTAAATCAGATTACTTGTGTGTTTGTTGTTGTTCAGTTGTTTTGAGTTCCTTGTATATTCTGGTTATTAATCTCTTATGGAATTGATAGCTTACAAATATTTTCTCACATTCTGTGAGTCATCTCTTTATTGATTGTCTCCTTTGCTGTGCAGAAGCTTTTAAGCTTGATGTAATCCCATTTGTCTAGATTTGCTTTTGTTGCCTGTGCTTTGGAGGTCTTACACAAAATATCTTTGCCCAGACCAATGTCCTGGAGCATTTCCCCAAGGTTTTCTTCTAGTACTTTTATAGTTTCAAGTCTTACATGTAAGACTGTAATCCATTTTGAGTTGGTTTTTTGTATATGGTGAAGGATGGAGATCTAGTTTGATTCTTCTGCATGTGAATATCCAGTTTCCTAGCACTATTTATTAAAGAGACTGTCCTTTTCCAAATGTATGTTCTTTGTGCCTCTGTTGAAAATTGTTTGGCTGTAAGGGTATGGATTTATTTCTGGGTTCTCTATTCTGTTCCATTGATTTATGTGTCTGTTTTAATGTCAGCACCATGCTATTATGCCTCTAGCTTTGTTCTTTTTTGTTTTTTTTCTCGGTATTGCCTTAGCTTTTGTGGTTCCATACAAATTTTAAGATTGTTTTTCCTATTTCTGTGAAGAATGTCATTGGAATTTTGATAAGGATTGCACTGAATCTGTAGATCACTTTGGGCAGTACAGACATTTTAACAACATTAATTCTTCCAATCCATGAGCATGAAATACCTTTCCATTTTTGTATGTTTTTATTTCTTTGATTAATGTTTTATAGTTTTCCTTGTAGAGATCTTACTTCTTTGATTAAATTTATTTCTACATATATTTTTCGTAAAGTTGGAAAGAGAATTGCTTTCTTGATTTCTTTTTCAGATTGATTGCTATTAGCATATAGAAATACTACTGACTTTTGTATGTTAATTTTGTATCCTGCAACTTTAGTAAAGTTGTATACCAGTTCTAAGAGGTCTTTGCTGGAGTCTGCAAACAAGGATAATTTGATTTCTTCCTTTTTAATTCTGATGTTATTTATTTCTTTTTCTTGCCTAATTGCTCTGGCTAGAACTTCCAGTACTATGTTGAATAAAAGTAGTGGCAATGGGCATCCTTGCTTTGTTCCATACATTAACAGAAAGGATTTTAGTTTTTACTTATTCAGTGTGGTATTAGCTGTGGGCTTGTCATATATCATCTTTATCATGTTGACTTTCTAAACCCAGTTTCTTCAGGTTTTATCATGGAGGGACGTTTAATTTTATTGAAGCCTTTTTCAGCATCTGTTGAAATGACCATATGGGTTTTGACCTTCATTCTGTTGACACAATGTATCATATTAATTGATTTGTGTATGTTGAACCATTCTTGCATCCCTAGGATGAATCCCACTTGATCATAGCAAAGGAACTTCTTAATGTGTTGTTGCATTCTGTTTGCTAATATGTACTGTTGGGGATTTTTGTATCTATGTTTTTTAGGGATAGTGGTCTGTATTTTTCGCTTGTGTGTGTGTGTCCTTGTCTGGTTTTGGTATCAGGTGGCTAATATGATGAGTTTGGGA